CGATCCTGGTAGGGCGCCAAGAACTGAAGTTGTGGATTAGCTCTACCTGTGATCTAAAAGGGAAGGAAAGTGACAGGAAGTCATTTAGTTTAGTGGAGGACAGATTTGGGGCAGTCACAATTAAGACAGAAGTCAGATGTAGAAGAAATGGTTGGAGGGAGTATTTTGGAAACCTGTGCAATGAAGGTGAGCAGGAAGAAAGGCAGTGGCTGTGTGGTTCTTGGGAGGTTAGGAAGGGATGTGCGTGTGTGCAGTAGCTCGCTTGTTATGGGCGTGCTAGTAAGAAATTGGTCTAAGGAGATAACCAGTTCTATGCGGTTGAAAAGGAGCATCTAGGACCCAGGTCAGTGAGTTTACTGGAATGTGGTGAAAGGGAGGGCAGGACATGGGTTGAATGCTGATTCCGTTGTCCTTTTTGGGGTTTTGTTTGCTTTTATTTCATGGAATGTAAGGACAGCCTTGGTTATTGTGGACTAAGCCAGTACTGCAGAAATTTCTTTGCCCTAGTGAAACAGCTGTTGTTTTGTGATATTGAAGATTGAATCCAGGACTTTGAATATGCTAGGTAAGTGCTCTACCATTGAGCTACAGCCCCATCCCTTTAGTTTTGTACTTTTTGAGATAGGGTCCAACCACATTGCCCAGGATGACCTTGAACTTAGATCCTCCTGGCCCAGCCTCCTGTGTAGCTGGATTTATAGGTATGTGCCACTGTACGTGGCTACAGCTGGTTTTTCAATGTGTTTTTTTTTTTTCCTTGGGAGAATTTTCTTGGTAACACAAACCATATCAATATAACAGGTGCATTGAGTAATGTGAAATAGTTTTATCAAACCATAATATTAAAATACTTGATCTGAAAAATGTTAACACATTATTAGAGAATATTGTTTTATAAAATAATCCATTCTCCAGAGCTACTGGGAAAAAAGAAAATTCATATTTCATTGGACAATGAGGCTTCACTAGGTATTTTTCTTTCCTGCAACGAGAAGAACCCTGGTATTCATTTAGGTACAGTGTTTTGTAAGATGGTTACAGCATTATTGCTGTCCTTCAATATTTGATAAGCCACTGAATGAACGTTAATTTCAGTTCTTACATTTGTACATGTCATACGTATTATATAACAGTTTAGCTTTGCTGCTTTTTGGAGTTTCTTATTTTTTTCTTTTGTGTGGTGCTGGGGATGAAACCCAGGGCCTTGTGCATGCAAGGCAAGAACTCTACCACTGAGCCACATCCTTAGCCCTCATCTTAGCTTATATATATTCTAAATGTTCTTACTTTCAGGGAAGTTGTTTTCTCACTATCTGCATGATTTTTCATCCTTTTAACCTAGTAGATTTCTTTTCTTCTTTTTTTTTTTAAATTAAAAGATGCTAACAACAACAATGAAGACAAAATCAAAACAGCACAAAAACAACAAAAATGATACATGACCTCAAAACAAAATGATAGGAATTAACAGTGGTTGCTACATTATATACTGTTACCTTCAACAAAGTTGTTCAGTCCACCACACGTAAGAATGTAAGATTGATCAATCAAGACGGTCACAATAATTTAAAAAAAAAAAAAACATTGGAAATGATGCAGAGGTTCACCATACAAGATGGTAGGAGTTCAGCAGTGGTTCTTATACTGCATATTGTTTTCAGATCAGTCATTCTGATTACCAGGTTCAAGTGTGCAAAATTAGTCAAAAAAAAAAAAGAAAATTTTAAGCATCATAGACATCAGCAATACACCTATTCCAGCTATCCTTATATATACATATAAATTTTGTTTTTCATTTAAAAAAACCCAAAATAACAAAAACAAATACATAAAGAAAACAGCGTAGAGAACAATAAAAATGATACAGAATTTCAAAACATGGTGATAGGTATTAACAGTGGTTGTTACATTGCCTAATGTCATCTTCAAAATGGTTGCACATATGACCAGATATAGGCACTCAAGATTGATCAAGCAGTTACACATTTACAGTTCCTTTCGATAAACCAACAGATACTAGTTGTACAATTAGCCTAGCTATCCTGTGTATACATATACATATTTTTTTCCTCTCCCCTCCTTCATCCCAGTTGCTCCTTCCTATTTGAGCAGTTTCATTTCCCTTTCACAATATCTATCGTACCTTTCAGATTCTACTCTTTCAGGTTCTTAACAGTAGGAAAGAAATACGATGTTTACACATGTGAATCTGATTTATTTCACTAATGAGTATGGTCTCTAGTTGCATCCATTTGCTTATAAAAGCGTCTAGTTTATCTTTCTTGATAGCTGAGTAATACTGCATTGTATAAAAAACTACATCTTTTTTTATCCATTCCTCAGCTGATGGACATTTGGGTTGTTTCCAAGATTTACATATTACAAGTTGGGCTGCTGTAAACATGGGTGCACATTTATCGCTGTGATATGATGTTTTCAGTTCTTCTGGAAAAATACCCAGGAGGGCAGTAGCTGGGTTGAATGGGACCTCTAATCCTAGTTTGCTGAGGAATCTCCAGACTGATTTCCACAGTGGTTGCACCAGTCTACATTCCTACCAGCAGTGGAGAAGAGTTCCTTTTTCTCCACAGCCACCCCAACATTTGTTGTTGGTTGATTTCTTGATGATACCCATTCTTTCTGGGGTGAGATGGAATCTCAGTGTTGTTTTAATTTGCATTTCTCAAATGACTAATGACGTTGAACATTTTTTCATGTATTTATTTGCCATTTGTATTTGTGTGAGAAGTGTGTATTTCATCTCAAATGCCCACTTCTGTACTGGGTCTTTGAATTTTGGGGGACTGATTTTTAAAAATTCTTTATATGTTCTAGACAAGAGTCTTTTGTCTAAGGGAAGTTGGCTAAAATTTCTTTCCAATTTGTGGATTTTCTTTTCACCTTGTTCGTGATTTCTTTTGATGTGCAAAAACCTTTCAATGACATGAGATCCCAGTTGTTGATTCTTTGAAATGTTTCCCCTGCAGTTTGGTTTTTGTTTATGAACTCTCTGCCTACCCCTGTGTCTTCAAGACTTCCACCCACTTTCTCTTCCCTAGTGGATTTCTTTTAACTTTACTGTTATTTAGTGTGAAAAAGATTATCTCCTGCCGTTTATAAGTTTTTAATTTCCTAGATCCAAATGGGCTGTGAACATAAAACCATTGCATCAAGTGTACAAGCCAGTGAATTAGTGTACAGAATATATTCATTAGGAGTTTACGTCTAGCTGAGTTTCTGTGTGATAGCTCCAGAGGTACAGCAGTCACTGGCTTGACATCAGAGCTCTTGCTGTCTAGCCTCCTGTTTTCTCCCCTCCTTCCTGTGATATGGGAGCTGTCTGAGGTCACCTGTGCAGTCTCAAGCAGATTTCATGTCTGAGGTGAGCAGTGATGTTTTATTGATCTACCTTTTCTTTCTTGCTCTTTGTTGTGTATAGCAGGATGCATTTGTATAGTTTTGTTGAGAAATACTATGCCATAGAATTTACCCTTTCAAAGTGTACAGTTGAATTGTTTTCGGTAAACTTACAGTCATGCAAACATCACCATGATCCAGTTTTAGACCATTTCCACAGTACTGTAAAAATCTGTTGTGCCGTTTGCAGTCGCACCATATTCCTACCACCAGTCTCAGGCAAATACTAACCTACTCATTGTCCCATACGGATTTGCTGTTCTGAACATCCTATATGTGTAGAGCTATCCAGCGTGTGGTCGCTTGCATCTGGCTCCTTTCGGTTACTATGCTTCTGAGGATTCATCTGTGTTGTAGCTTGTGTTGCTGTTTCTTGGCTTCTTATTGTCAAGTGAGACTCCACTATATGCTCAGATGACTGTCCAAATAGAAATACTCCATTTGTTTATTGTTTCTAGGTTTTGGCAATTGTGAATATTGCTGTGCTGTGAACATAGACTGTTCCCCCTAGTCTCATTGGTAATGGGATTTGAACCCAGAGCTTTCATACTGAGCTACTTCCCCAGTCCTTTTTTTATTTTTTATTTTGAGACGGGCTTGCTGAGTTACTAAGTCACCCAGGCTGGGCTTGAACTTGTAGCCCCTACCTCCACCTCCAGAATGCTGGGATTACAGGCATGTGCTTCCACATGTGGCTTACAAGCCTTTTTGAAGATGATCCTGTCACTATATTGCAGTGTACTCTTGCTGTGGAATTGGGTGATACAAACTGATAATAACTTTCATTGATCAGAATCTAACCTTGTGAGTAAATTTTCACACCCTGTCCACAGCATAACGTTTGTGGAGTCTTGGCTCCTTTTAGGGCAGAGGCAGCTTGACACCAACAGTCTTTGGTGATATATTGCATTAGAGGCCAATTACAGATTTAAATACTTAAAAGGCTAAAATGGTATAGTTTGATTAAAACCCTTAAAGCCTAAAATAACTTGTTTAAAAAATGTAGAGTATAAAATGGCTTGATTTATGCTAGTCGTCTCCTTTGTAAGTTTGGGCTTGGGAGTGTCCCTCTATTTCTGGGAAGATACTCAAGGACTCAAGGGTGCTTCTGAGTTTGGAGCTTTGGCAACTTGGGAGATGGGTACAGAGCATCTTAGAAACTGTCAGGATTATATGATGTGCTGGTGAGAAATCGCAGAGGTCTGCAGGAACCCTGGAGTCTGTCGGAGCCTGAGGAGCTGTGGTCAGAGGGAGCATTCTTCTGCCAGCCAGCAGCGCACATCTGCAGCCTGCAGTGCAGTGATCCGGGAGCTGTGGGTACAGGCAGTGCAGCTAGTTAACTGGGAGTGCTGTTTTTAAGTTGTATAATTTTAATTCACTTTAACCTCAGTAAGCTAATGGCTACTGAATTGCATAGAGCAGTTTTAGACTATTTTAGTAAATTGCTGCAAAATAATACTTAGGTTGTCACTTGGGATTCTAGGTTCTGGATTTTAACTCTTGCTTACTTTGGAAGTTTAACTGTTTAGTATGGTTTTCTAGAATGTTTTTGCTTTCTCACTTTGCTGTTTTTGCTTATTTAGGTGGCTCAGGAATGGATGAGCTCTCCAAATAAAGAGAATTTCTATGAGTTGCAGTTACGAAAATTTCCGGCTGATTATAAAAAAACCTGGGAATTTGTAGGTAAGGTCTTTCTTACACAAATTGAAACATATGAAAGAATAATTGGAGATTTCTGCTTCAGAGGAGACATCAACATAAATTGAATTTTCTAAGACATAGGTTGGTTCTGTTTTCGCAGTACTGGAGATTGAACCCAGGGCCTTTTACATACTAGTAGGCAAGTGCTCTAGCATTCAGTTACGTCCCCAAACTGTGCGACATAGGCTTTTTAAAGCTAAACTTGCACTTTATTATAGCAAATATGTTTAAAGTCTTAAGAGACTGTTGCGATGATGGTGAATATAAAATTCGTGCTTTTCCCCCACTCTAGTTAGAATTCTATAGTTAGAATCCTGAAACATCAGTGGAAGCTGGGGATGGGAAAGAGCTTGGTGAAAGGGCTTAGGGGTTGCATAGTAGTCTCTGGATTCTTCACAAGTCTAACATCATATTCTTGTTGGTTCATAATTGGTCTGAGCCGCATAGCACTTTTAGTTATAAAGAAATCAGACATTCAGACTCTTTCTCATTGAAATGTATAAGTCCTCTTTTTGCCCCCCTCCGTGGGACTCTGTCCAGTCTTGTAGGTGCATGTAAGAGAGAAGTGAGCAAATGAGAATATTTTGGGAGAAAACTACAGTAGTTTGATAATAGACTACCCTGATAATACCAGCCAGTAGTAAAATAAATACTATCCACAAATTTTCACCATTCAGAGAGAATTCCATTAAGATTTGGTATGTCATTTGACTACTAGACTTTACTTACTCTTGAGAGAGAGAGTGTTTGTGTGAGTTGTGTATGTTGGGTTTATTTTCCTTATTTTCTAACATTTTTCATCAGCCACTCATTATTACCTGGGCTATGCTTTTTTCCTCTCACTTTAGCCAGCATGGCCAAATCAGGTGGGGGAGCTAATCGAGTGTCCAGCTAATTAGCTCTCTTGGAGTTGGATCAATTTTAAATTCCACAGGGAAAGCCTGGTGTGGTAGTGCCATTAGGAGACTGACAGGAGGTTCACAAGTTCAAACCCAACCTGGGCCACTTTAGTAAGACCCTGTCTTAAAGTATTTAAAAAGGAGCTGAGGATGAGGCTCGTTGTAGAGGCCCTGGGTTCATTCCTCATTCCAAAAATAACAAAACCAAAAAAACATCCCATAGATAATTTTTACCTTTCCTAACAGCATTTCAGCTGCTGCTTACACCCTAGATGACTTCATAGTCTACCCAGGCACCAGCCAAATGTCGCACTCTGCCCTTTGATGTTCCTTTTCCCCAGCATTGCTTTTAGTGACTCAGGAGTGCCCTTGCAAATCCCAGTTCTCATCCCACCTCTGATGTGTGGGTTCCCTAACATCACCTGCCTCCACATCTGATGATGCGCTGAGAAGACAGAAGGTTCAGCATATCCACAGCGGTGACCTAGTTGTGAATGAAGACAGCAGAATCAGCAGAGGGAAAAGGCACATTTGGATGGAGTTTAGAAGGAACCAAGCCTCCAAGAGTCCTTTCCTAGTGGAGGCTGACAGAGTGTGCTTAATCCCTCATCAGCCACATGTGACATGTCTGCTGGACATGCTTTTTAGAGACTCTGCAGTCAAGAGGCCCTGCAGAGACCAAAATTCTAGGCTCCTGAGAGGTGTCTGGCATCAGCTGTGTTGTTTTCATACACAGGTTAGACACTATCAGTCATTCCTGTATGATGTGCTTTTGTCCTAAAGTCCCAGGTCCGAGATGCCAGCCAAAAGCAGCTTCACAAGCAGGTCTTTTAAAAGGATAGCAGGCTACTGTGCTCTTTACTGCACTTAGAAATAAGGGCATTTTTGTTGAGCCCAAATCCAGAAGTGGATTGTGGAGTCTTAGAGTATACTGAATTCAGCTTCAGTAGAGAATGCCAAGCGCTGTATCCCATCAGCACGGAGTCAGAGGTCACATTGCTCTGTCTTTGCCAACACATTTGTATTGTTATTTTCTGTTTTAGCAATTAATTGTATTGTTATTTTCAGTTTAGCAATAGATAGAGTTTGTGGATGGATGGCCTTTGGTGGTGGTTGTATTTTGCAATAGATTTATTGGGGAGGTTGAACGCTTTCCCTTGTATATAGCAGATGCTTGAGTAACCTCTTTTGGGAAGTGCATATCCAGGCTCTTGTTCATTTCTGTGAGTTGTGTTCTCTTACTGATAATTTGTAGGAGCTCTTTGTATAACTGTGTAAGCTATCCTTCCATTTTGGCTTACATTTTAACTCTTTTGATTATGCCTTAAAATTTTTTATTTTATTCTTACTAACAAGAATTTGTGTTTTTAACATAATAAATACATCAGCTTTTTATGATTAATGATCAGTGTTCCATTTCTTGTATGAAGATTAACAAATCTTTCTCTGATGCAGGTATATTTTCTTTATAGAACAGTGGTCATCAGACTACAAGCTTGCCAGCCTCCCTACCCTGTGTCTTGTTTTTGTACTGCCATAGAATGTTCTGCATTTTAAAAAGGGTTGTAAAAAGATTATGCAGCAGGAACCATATGTGGCCCCCAAAACAGTTACTGTCTGGCTCTTCACGGAGGAAGTTTGGAGACCCCCTTTCTGGAAGTATGATTGTTTTGAAATTGATTTTTTTTTTTTGGTGGGTGGTACTGGGGATTGAACCAAGGGATTCACACTGTGCTATAGCCCCAGCCCTTTTTTTTAATTTGAAGATAAAATCTTGCTGATTCTATCATATTAGATCATCATTTCCAAGAACGATTAGTGAGTCTTTTTCTAAGTGTCTGTATATGTTCTAAAACTTCAGCTATGTTTCTAGAACTTAGAAAAAAGTTACATTATATAAAATGGCAAGTCTTACCTGAGGAGTTATTTTTGTTTTCTTGGTACTTTCCTTTTTTAAGTTTAAAAGTGTAATTAAACTTATATTTTGTGATTAAAAAAAAAAAAAGCAAAGTCTTGCTAAATTCTGCAGGCTGAGTTCAGATTCGCAGCCTTTCCATCATTAGTTGGCTGTTCTTCTTTTTGAGTTGAAGGCATTTCTTATATATTCTGGAGAAAACTGATTAGATTGTATTTTAAAAATACTTTCTCCTGGCCTATGGATTACCTTTTAATTTTCCCTGCAGTGTCATTTGAAGAGGAACAGTTTTTATTTTGATGATATATACATTATCAGTTTTTTCTTTCATAATTCATGTTTTTTATGTTGTAAGATGTGTTTGCCTAATCCAACGTCATAGTTGATTTCTCCTAAGTTTTGTACTTTTTCATGTTCATGTTGATGACCATTTTCAAGTTTTATTTTTGTGTATGACATGATGTAAGGATTGAGAATTTTTGTTTGTTTTTTAACACAGATATCAGTATTAGGGATATTTGTGGAAAAGACTATCCCTTCCCCCATTGAATAAGCTTGGCCCACTTGTCAGAATCTCAGTTGACCTTGGATGGGAGGTATTTTAGGGGCACTTTATTCTCTTCATCTATGTATGTACCTAATACCAGTACAGTACATCTTCTTGATTGATGTTATAAAAAGTATTGAAATCTGAAAGTTTAAGTCTTCCAGTTTGTTGAACAAAAAATTCTTTTCTGTGTTATATACATTTTAAAATCAGTTTGTAAATTTCTACAAAAATGCTTCCTGCTATTTGACAGGAATTGCTTTGGAATTAAAGATTTATTTTGGGAGAAGGACTCAAGTCTCTTTGATTTGTGTATCTCTTATCGTTTATTTAGACTGTCTTTAGTTTTTTCATTTTTTTCTGTAGTGCTGGGGATTGAACCAGGGCCTCACACATGCTGGAGAAGTGTGCTACCGCTGAACTATATCCCAGTCCTTTGTTATTTTGAGACAAGGTTTTGCTAAACTGCTCCTGCCAGCCTTGAACCTGTGATCTCTTCCCTCAGCCTCCCAGGGAGCTTGGGTTATACATGTGTGCCACCACCCCTTGCCATCCTTCGTTTCTCTCAGCATGTTTTATGTTTTTCAGGGTACAGCTCTCTCGCCTGGTGTTTCTGATTTACTGTTGCAGTCTGCCTAGTCCCAGTGCTTAGTGTTTCAGCGCAGTGTGTGATTGCTGAGTTCAGCAGTTGGTACCGAATGTCTTTATTCTAGTGCTCACTGTTTTCCAAATCCGATGTAGTTTACACCTATCTGTCCCCTTTGTTTAAAATACCATCAGTAAATTCAGTTCTTACGTGTACTTGTGTCCATTTCCAAATTTTTTCCTGCAATTTTGAAAGTGGGTAACAATGAGAGAATCTCTTGATTAAAAGCCAGAATAAACCTCAGGGAAATAAAATGTATCAGCTACTTCTAAATATTATGATTTTATCTATTTTAGCTTTATAGCAATTTTAAAGAAAAATTTTATAATACTTTGTAGTCAATATTTTAAAATTTTTATTGCATGAGATTGTCACTTTAAAGTACATACAGTCCACTAGGGCTTGTGCTTCTGGACCTATTCCAAGGGTTGAATGTCTTTTTTTTTTTTTTTTTTGAGACAGGGTCTCGCTGAACAGTTTAGGCTGGCCTGAGTTCACTGTGTAGCCCAGGCTGGCCTCGAACTTGTGGCAATCCTCCTGCCTCAGCCTCCTGAGTGCTGGGATTACAGGCATGCGCCACCATGCCTGCCAAGGATTGGATTTCTATTAAGCTAATCTAATTTAAAATAATCGTTCGAGTTCTGTAAATGCTGACTTCTTGTTTTGTAGTGTATCTCAAGGAGTGTGACCTGGCTAAACAGTTTCATCCAAAGGAAAATGATTTGGTGTTTCTCATTCCTGAGGGATTAAATGGAGAGAACGATAGAGAGAGACATTGCATTCAAGAGCCCTATGAATATCATTGTGGTTACATCCACAGATTTCGCCGCACTTCAGTCAGTAAGTAGATAATGAGGCATTGACAGAGAATTTATCAGACACAGTGGTACCTTGGTTCACAAACACTTTTCTTTGCAAATGATTTGGTTCACAAACAAGCTGGCAAAATTTTGTTTGTGTCTGTGAACTCTTCTTTTGGGTGACAAACATGACCACACAAACACAGATGGGGCCATCTTCTCCAGAACTGTGGAGCAAATTCAGTTCCTGAACCAAGGTACCTCTTACAAGCCCATCTTCCCACTTGCTTCGAAATGTGCTTCCCTAGCTTTGTATTTGCTGCACATTTACCGAGCAAGTGTCTGCTGTTGCCATTCAAAGTGCCTTTCTAGTTTCCCTAGACTCAAGGTCCTGCCTTTATTCCCTAGCCTTATGATTGAAAAGCTTTTTTGTGTAATACCCTCATCTGGTACGTTCCTTCGTCTGCTGTTGGGTTGTTACTGCACAGACCATTTGAAAGGCATCTATTTGCTATGCCTTCTTTTTTCCTCCTCAGTAATGAGAATTGAAGGGCCTTTGCGTTGAGCTATATTTCCAGTTATTGTATTTTTTTATTTTGAGATTGGGTCTCACTAGGTTACTCTGTTTCCCAGGCTGGGCTTGAACTTACAACCATCCTGCCTCAGCCTTCCAAGTGGTGGGATTACAAGCATGCACCACCACACCCGGCTTCCAGTTTTTTCTTTACAGTGAGAGTGATTTGTTTTTAATATTTGAAGTAGAACATACTACTTCCCTACTCACAGCCCACTCTGTGGATTCCCAGCTAGCTCTGTTTGAATAGGATCCAGAGTCATTACCATGGTCTGCAAAGGTCTGTAAAATACAGTAGTCTCATTTGAATCTCTAGATCACCTAGTATTCTTCTCCCTTTTCCTTTCTGCTACCCTCGCCCTCTCCTCGTGTCTGAGATAGTCCTCACACATCTTCTCCTGGGCTTGGTAGCTGGTAATCCTTCACCTGCAGCACTCTTCATTCCTTCATAAAGACTTGACTCTCCTCATTCTCCGCTCACTGTCGTCTGAGCAGGGAGACTCTCCGTGACCAGCCTGCATACGCCACACCCCTTCTCAGCCTTGTCCACAGCACTCAGCACCATCAGATGTGTTTATTTAGCATCCTGCTCCCTCTTCTAGAAAATAGTCTAGTCTGTGGAGAACAAGAACATTGCCTGATGGAGTGATTTGTTTAAATAACGTATCATACAAAATACCTAATTCTGAAGAACCTTAACCGGACAACATTATTCAGTGGTAACTGAAATTATTTTTTCTCCTTCTTGATAATAGTGCGTAATGGAAAATCTGAGTGTTCCCTTTCCATTCAGACTCAAGATAATTTTCGAGCCAATTTAAATGAACATATGAAATGCATTGTAATCAGTTCTCTGGTAACTACACAAAGGAAGCTGAAAGCCATGTCTCTGTTGAGTGGTCGGAACCAGCTGGCCAGAGCTATTCTGAACCCAAACCCCATGGACTTCTGTACCAAAGATTTGCTGACTACAACATCTGAGAGAATTGTGAGTACGGATTATGTACCCAGAAAAGTCAGAAAATGGTATGTCCAGATGTTAAAGTATTGTGTTTAGATTTTAATTTTTGCTTAATATTGCAAAGTATATGACTGAGTTGGTCGGCTTACCTCAAGAAAAGAAACAGGACAAAAAAGAGCTGCCGGCACATTGGTGTGCTGGAGGAATGGCCTTAAGGTGTTAGGTCAACATCCTGCTCCTGTGTTGCTAGGTGATAAGAATTCAGGAATAGGAATGTCAGGTTTCATGAGTTAGTTTTGCGTTTCAGGACTGTTGTGAAATGGACTGGTGTTGCTGCAGATGCAAAGATGAAGCTGTCATCTTGTGTGAACAAGTCTTTTACACCATAAGAGTGATATATGAATTCCCGGAAGTGAACACAGAAATGCAACTGGAGACCACAAGTTTTGAACCCTTTCTTTGTTGGGGTTTCATTTTGACTTATCTCGGTCAGATCTTAGCTTTTAAGGAATCCAAAATTTAATAAATGATAGCTGTTGAGCCTCTGAAAGATGAAGGGTTTACAGTGACATAGCTTGAAATAAAATTGAAGTTTAGTTTCCGTTCTGACCCTGAAATACATAGTTTTTCCACACATCACGTTAGAAAAGACTGATGAAGTACTTTTACTGTCTAAAGAGAGAATTTATCAAATGGAAAAACTCACAAAGAATAATTGAAGAAAAATACAGATTAGTAAGTGAAATTTATTGTGATCCTCTGGTAACAGTTACAAAAACATAGTTGTAGTATTTGTAAGTGCGCTGAAAACTATAGACACAAATTATTAACCAGTAAGCAGCTTGCTTGCTTGCTTGCTTTGTTTTTTTTGTTTTGAAACAGGGTCTCACTATAATAGTTCAGGCTGGTCTTGAGCTCACCTTGTAGCCCAGGCTGGCCTCAAATTCACAGTGATTGTCCTGCTACGACCTCCTGAGACTTAAGTAGCTTTCTTTCCAGTAATGAAAGTGATTCTTAAAGATCACTCTGAGGTCTTTCCTGGGCATAACCTAAGCTTTTGCATAACACACCTTGGATGAAGTTCAAACAGATGATTTTTATTGTCTTTCATATGTCACTACAGAAGAAACAACTTGTTCTCACAAATGTCTTGTTGTATAGATTGCCTACCTGAAAGATTTCAATGAAGAGCAAAAAAAGGCAATAGAAACTGCGTATGCCATGGTGAAACACTCACCATCCTTTGCCAAAATCTGTCTGATTCATGGACCGCCTGGAACAGGAAAATCAAAAACTATCGTTGGCCTCCTCTTCTACTTACTAACAGAGGTGAGTGTGCCAGGAGGACGCTGGAGCTGTGACCAGGGCACATCATTTGACTCTTCTTGAGTTAACTGGCCTGTAAGTGTTCATGTGCCTCTTCCCTTCATATTTTTTAAACTATCAGGGAGAGAGAAACAAGTGTATGAAAAGTAAAAAGATCAGAAAACGCCATTTGGTGTGAAACAGACCCTAGGACTAGGATGTAGTGGTCTCAGCTTCCACGATAGGTCACAGTAATGCAGGAGTCCACCTGAAATGGACGGGGTGTTGGTTGGACAGAGTGTTGATTAGAGGAAGGACCATAGATGGCAAAGTAAGGCTCAGAACCTGGGTGATAAAATGTCAAGCAAGGTAATTTTAGTGTCAGTGAAAGGTGTAGATGCTTTTATGGTATTTATTTTTAACGGTATTATGAGAACTTTCTGACATACATGGAAGTAGAGAAAAACTTAAAAACTATGTAGTAGAGCTCATCAGTATTTTTGTCGTTTTTTATTTGGTATGTGGCAAATTGTAGAACCAGAGAGGTGGGCATTCAGATGAAAACTCCAATGCCAAGATCAAACAGAACCGTGTCCTTGTGTGTGCGCCTTCCAATGCAGCTGTTGATGAACTTATGAAAAAAATTATCATCGAATTCAAAGAAAAATGTAAAGACAAGAAGAATCCTTTGGGTATGATACTTTTTCTTGTTTTCAGTGTTTAGTAAGTGTTGGGCAGCCTTGAATGATGATGGTAAGAAGCCAGTCTTAGTTTGGGGCTGTGGCCCTCAGGTACCTGTTGATCGATTTAGCAGTATTTTATTGTGCATGTATCCTGCGCCAGGCACTGTGCCAAACCTGAGGTTTCAACAGTGAATGCTTCAAGGTGACAGAGTCTAGTGAGAAAATGCATGGGTTAGCGAGCATTTGTGGTATAGAGTTGTAACTTCCGTTATAGGACTAACGCATGGGTGTTGCCGGACACCTCAGACAGCAGACCTGTGAATCAGTCATGTGCAGGCCTTTAAGGAGGGCTTTTGGAGGAAATGAGGTCCCAGATGAAACCTGAAGAGCAGTTAGGAATTAGCCATGTGATAGGAGAGAGGAAGGGACTTAAGCAGAGGTAACTGTAGAAAGGAGTAGGTCAGGAGACCTTCAGACAGTTGAGTGCAGCTGGCCTCTACGCAGGTCCATGAAGTCAGGCTTCTGATCTGATCACTGCAGTTCCCCACGGTTCCCCGCCTCCCTGAACACTGCCTGGCACTCCATTGAGGGCAGGTGCTTAGTGACTAAAGAGCCTAGGCAGCAGGGGCTGATGCAAGATGAGGGTCGCACTAGGCGTTGGCTTTGTGGAGGCTGTGCAGGTAATCCTTGTTGGTAGTTCCTGTGTGCTTACTGTGGTGGATGATCCTCAGAATAACGCTGAGAGGTGGGGGTTAGATAACCTTGCTGTCTGTGTCATGGTAGGGAGAGTGAAGTGCAGAGATGTTAGGTAGGAGCAGCTAGCTGTTTCCGTGGAAATCACATAATGGAAGCATTACCAAGGTGGTGCAGGAGCTTGAGAGAAGATGTGACATCATGTCTGTTCGCGCTGACTTACATCACTCATTTTGAGTGGTTTTGTTTCAGCTTTGTGTTTTCTTACTTCCCCAGTTTATAGTATGTCTTGTCTTCCCAGTTTATAGTATGTCTTGGGTTTCTCCTGAGGATACCTGATACTACCTTTTGCCCATTAGGATTAGATGCAGTTGCAAATAATAGAGATTCTAAATATGGTGGCTTAGCTATGATGGAAGTTTCTTTCCCATTGGAAAACCCACAGGTTGATAGTTGAGGACTGGTGCCAGAGTCCCTGGTCCCTAGAGTCTTCTGTGGTGTAGTCCACTGTTAGTGGACCTCATGATTAGGAACAGTTGCCACAGCTCCAGTAACCACATGTACCAAGGATGAGGAAAGATGAAGAATCAACAAAAGGAGCATACTAGCCATAGTTTAAAGGTAGTTCCTAGATACTGCCAGTTGCACCTCTACGTTATTTCCTGTTGACCAGACACTATATGGCAACACCAGGTACCAGAGAGACACTGGGGAATCACACACTACATGTGTACCTCTATGTAAAACCCATTTACTTTTGTTGTTTTGTTTTGTTTTGTTTTGTTTTGTTTTGTTTTGTTTTGTTTTGTTTTGTTTTGTTTTGAGACAGGGTCTCGCTATGCAATTCCGGCTGGCCTTGAGCTCACTTTGTAGCCCAGGCTGGCCTCGAACTCCCAACAATCCTCCTGCCTCAGCCTCCTGAATGCTGGGATTATAGGCATGCGCCACCACGCCCAACAACCCATTTACTTTTCAAACCTCCCGTACCATTATGTTCGCAGGATTGGTGGATTTATGAGTGGCTCTAGCCATTCACATTAACAGCTATAGCTTATCTCGCGTATATGCGTTCACAATTTGTTCATGGTCCATTGGTGGAAATGTGGGTTCTTGTTAGGCTTTTATTTCAAACTTTATGAAGTGAGCATTTCTATACTTGCGTGTATTTCTCTAGTACAAGTATAAAAGTGGTTTCTGCCATGGATAAATGAAGTGTGCTCAGCAGCAGCATACTTTGTGTTAAAGGCACAGCATTCGTAGCTGCGTCTCTTCATACACACATGCAGCTTTCTAGGGTAGAGCTTTCCCAGTGGTGGATGGTGACCACGAGTGTGTGGTAAAGCTAGTTCAGTGATCCAGCTGGAATCAGCGCATGTCAGCTACAGTGGAGGAGGTCAGAGGCTGGGTTGTGAGGGAAGTACCGTGTGAAATTGGTGTCACTTGTGTGATGTGTGGCAGTGTACTGTGTTTCAATGAAAAGTGAAGCTCATACTGTAGGCCAAGGTTTAGATGTTTATAAAAAAACACTGGTCTTCCGCTGGTATCCAGAAGTGAAGGTATTTCACTTCTCACTGCTTCCTAAACTGAGCCAGCGTGTCACTTTTGTCATTGCAAATGTCTTTGTCTAGTTTGAGTACTGAAGCTGCACAGGCTTTTAAAAATGAGGGCTAGCTAGCTGGGCATGGTGGCACACGCCTGTAATCCCAGCACTCGGGAGGCTGAGGCAGGAGGATTGTTGGGAGTTCGAGGCCAGCCTGGGCTACAAAGTGCGCTCAAGGCTGGCCTGAACTGCGTAGTGAGATCCTGTCTCAAAAAAAAAAAAAAAAAAAAAGGAGGGCTAGAGATGTTCAGTCCGCACTACCACCAAAAAAATAAATTGAGGAGAACTTTTCTCCCCTTTGGAATGTTTAAGACAGACTACCTATTTTGTTTTTAGTACTGTTTTATTTTGTATTTCAACAGCATAAGTTTGTAAAGTAAATTTTTTGAGAAAGTTTTCTACTTTAACTTAGGGTTTCATGTGCGTTATGTTCTCATTTTTTAAAATCTTAACTGTAGTTGTGGGTGGATCCCCTTTCTCCTTTGTAATGGATATATATTCCCTAAATGCGCCTGTGTGTAGACGCGTACATGGAAAGTCTTACAGGAAATTGGTTTTTTCCTCAGCAAGGCTCAGGCCTAGAGAGGTACGCTTCCTCTTTACTCTTCCACCTCTTCCCTGTCCCTTCGCCTTCTTTTGGGCATTGAAATCCAGGCTCCTGTTACAGGAACATCTGTCTACATTTTTTAGGGTGATAGGTACCTGTCCGCGTACTGAATGCATTTTATACCTCAGTAGATGTTGACTCACAGTAAGACAGACACCGAAGCAACGCTCCTTCACACGCTGCTCACTCTGGGAAGCTACAGCACCTCTGGTGTTTGCAGGCCTGGGTCACGCTCTCTTCACTTTTGGCCCCTGGGAATTTCTCTTACAGTTTGTGAGCTCACTGCCGTGTGAAGGGTGTCTGTTACGACTTAAGGCGCATTTCTGGGTAAAGTAGGTGGGTCTCCAATCATCTCATCTACCCTTCAGGTGAGAGCGCGAGCAAGTGAAGTAGTTTTGGGACCCTCAAGTAAATGATGGCCATAAAGTATGGCTTCATATCTAGGAGAATAACTTGAACAAGGTCAAAACTAATGCTGTAGATAACTGTATGAATAAGGGTTTTATTCTGCATGTATGTGCTGAACACGTGTCAGCCACTGTTCTGCCTGTCTTCGTGGGACTCCACATTTGGTGGAGGGAGATAGACATAGAGACAGAACAGGTATGGGTGTAGTGTGTCGGACAGCTAGGTGCTGGTGAATTCTGCGTGACCGTTGGAGCTCAGCCTGGTGACACAGTGGGAAATTTGTAGATTAATGAGATGTGGTAACCTGAAATAAAAATGTGGCTAGCAAGCAGGTAGGCTAAATACTGTTTATAGATTTTGGAGTTTCTGTCGTCTCGTGTCCTTCTGAATCTGGAGTAGCAGTGTAATATGGAGCATAGTTTCAGAATTGTGTATGTTGTATCAGAGGATTTGATGGTCAAATAAGATACTGCTTTAGAGATTCAAATACATTCTTAAGAAGATCCTCGAAGTGCCATATTCTGTGGTTAAGAAAACTGCTTGATTTTAACTCACCATTTTCCAAGTCTGTTTTGGTCATGCAGTGGTACACAGGACATAATTTGAAAAATACTAGTATAGTAGAATGTCAGCTCTACAGTGTTTATATGACTGCCTGGCTTATGTTACATAGAAGGGAAGCAGTTGTCATAGAAGGCTGTTAACAGAATACCTCATGTATAAGAAGGCTTCACTGCTCTTCCTGGTACCTAGTTGGCAGTGACAGTAGCCCCCCTTGCCTGGTTAGGATGTATTGGCAGTGTCTTCATTAATCTTTAAGTGTGACTTTTATCAACAGGAAACTGTGGAGATATAAATTTAGTACGACTGGGTCCAGAAAAATCTATTAACAATGAGGTCCTAAAATTCAGTTTGGACAGCCAAGTGAACCACAGAATGAGTAAGTAATGAACCTGATACACACCTAGTGTGTTTTGGGTGTGTGCTGGAGGACAGGGGTATTATTTTTGCTTTTTAGATACTGAGGGTTAAACCTAGAGCCTTCACACTGAGCCCTGTGCCCCTAGCCATTCTCTTTTTTTTTTTTTTAAGTTTAATTTTAATTTTGAATTAAGGTCCTTGCTGAGATTTCCAGACTAGATTTAAACTTGCATTCCTCCTACTTCTGCCTCTGAGTGCTGGCACTGCAAGCGTGTGCCACGACACCTAACCCGTACTACTGTGTTTTTGTTTTTTTGGTTGTTGTTTGTTTTTTTTTTTTTTGCTTTTCTGTAGCAAAAAAGTGACTTGGGCACTAAAGGTAATTTGGAAATCCTAGAAGCATCCTAGCTTTGAGAGCTAGTTTTCCTTCTTGTGGTGTTAGCTACAATGAATGGGTAATTCTTTATTTTTGTTTTTATTAGAAAAAGACTTGCCTTCTCATGTTCAGGAGATGCATAGAAGAAAGGAGTTTCTAGATCATCAGCTGGATGAGCTTTCCCGTCAGCGAGCTTTATGCCGAGGTGGACGGGAAAAACAGGTATCTAAGCATTTCTTAACTCCAGTCTGTCAGTAGTTATGCATAGGTACGTAAACTAGCAGATAAGTATTTGATCCCATTCATGCATTGGGGAATGGCATCATTCATATATGAAAATTTATACTAAAGTGGTATGCCCTACATCAGTGGGTTAGCAAACATTTTTCATAAAGAGCAAGAAAATAAATACTGTGCTCTCTGTAGGCCATATGGTCTCTGTTGCAGTTACTCAGTTCTGTTCTAGTTCAAAAGCTGCCACAGGTAATATATAATCCATAAAACTTTATTTATAAAAGCAAATTGTGTTGGATTTGGCACACAGGCCCAATTATATTAAATTATATTAAAGCTATGCTGAATTTATGCACGTTAAACACAGTTTAAATTTGATAAAATGAAAAGGGAATTTACTGGCTTATATATGTCAGCTTTAGTATAGCTAGATCCAGAGACCAAATGATATCTCCATATTTGATTTGTCTTTCTCTGTCATGGACTTCTTCTTCAGGAGAAGACAAGTGCCAGCATTTCTGGGCTGCACCGTCCCAGCTTCGAAACCCCACAGAAAGTGTCTCAGCTATGCGTCAGTTCCAAGGATGCAGTCTAATTAGTCCCTGGTGTAGTCTGGCAGGTCTAGTCCCTCTCTTTAAGGGAGTGGATTCCCTGATTTGCCAGTCTGTATTGTGGACTCTTCCCTGTAGCTGGAAGAATGCTTGGGGTATGATTGACAGCCTCATTTGAACTGCCTAGGAGTGAGGAATGGAGGGGCACCCCACAGCTTGGAGTGCCGAGCAGACAAAGATCTCCGCCTCACACGCTGACAGAATAGCATCTTGCACAGTAGTGCAAAGAGGGGTCAGAGAAAACAGGCTGGGGTGGCAAGCTTTGCACTGGGAAAGATACTGTTGACTCTCAAGGTGTGGAGCAGTGCATGAGAAAGCATTATCACTGCTTAGCAGTTTTAGTTAATAACGTTCTGATTTTTTCCAGAGGCAAGAATTAGATGAACAAATTGCTAAAGTTTCCAAAGAAAGGCAAGAACTTGCTTCTAAAATTAAAGAGGTGAGTAGTTCACCTGTGGCATTATTTTGGTTTTTATTTCTTAATTTGTGAAGTATCCCACTCATGGCAGAAAACATTTCTAGTTGCTATCAGATGACTAGTTGGCAGAACTAGGCTTGTAGGTGTTTTCCCTATTAAAAAGAAAGAAAGCCAATGGGTGAGTTTTTGGAAGCAACTGTGGGCCCTCCAGTGTTCCAGTCTAGCTGTAAGTAGAGGAACAGTGTAAGGCTTGGATAGTAAAGTACTGGGGGGGTTGGGTATGGGGATTGAAACCAGGGAATGCCAAACTCCATCCCCAGCACTTTCTAAATTTTATTTTGAGAGACTCTTGCTAAGTTGCCCATGCTGGCCTCGAACTTGTGATCCTTCTGCCTCAGCCTCCCAAGTAGCTGGGATTATAGGTGTGTGTCACCACACCTAGCTCAGATGCATTCCCTCCCCTCCCCGCCCCGCAAAATGTATTTTACTTTGTGGTTGGCTGATTTCACAGATGTGGAATCCACAGATACAGAGAGAGCTGACTACTTAGCTGTTCCTCCATGTTCTTTAACTGCAAAAATATCAGATAGGAATTAGACTAATTGAAGCTAGGCTGAGCCAGTTGTGTCCAAAAGATCAAAATGCTGCCCTAATGAAATCAAACAGGTCCAAGGGCAGAGAAGTAGCAATTGAGGGTGTTAGTAGGATTTTTGAGCTGAGATCTAGTTGAATTTAATGCATACTTCCATTCACAGTTTATTTACACTGAACATTATGTGAAAACTTCATACGAAAATTTTCAAACTGAAGTCCATTGTTCACAAGTATTGTTCTCCGCTGCTCATCATACATGTTTTGTGCACCACTGAATGAATCATGCTTGGCAGTTTCCTCATGAGAAAGCTGAGAAGAGAGGGGTCCTGTGGTGCATTCACTGTGCACACACAGGCATTGGAACCATGGCTGGCAGGACACAGATGCAGCGATTCAGCAGTGCCACTTCTCATTAGCAGAAATAGGCAAACAGAATGTCTGATCAGTCCCAACTTACTCATTTGGGCCCTAAGTGAATTTAGTATGCGTTGTATTGTTCATCTTGCTTTCATCTTAGTACATTGCATAAAGTAGACCACAGTTGTTTTTCATCTGCGGAAATAAAATATTTTTCGGGTACACGGTGTGTGTGTGTGTGTGTGTGTGTGTGTGAGAGAGAGAGAGAGAGAGAGAGACAGAGAGACAGAGAGAGAGACAGAGACAGAGAGACAGAGAAAATTTGAGACAGGGTCTCACTATATAGTTCTGGCTGGCCTTAAACTCACTTATTTAGGCTAGACTGACCTGGAGCTCACAGTGAACCTCCTGCCTCTACCTATCAAGTGCTGGGATTACAGATGTGGGCCACCATGCCTGGCTACACAGGAATTTTTATTAGTGATAGCTCTGTGTGTGTGTGTGTGTGTGTGTGTGTGTGTGTGTGTGTGTGTGTGAACTTTTATAAAACAAAGAATAGTATTATGTCGTGTGTGTACTTTCAAGTTTATTTCTATTTCAGGTCTCACTCAAATTGTTTCACTTTAGTACAGTTATATAATCTCTACTTACTTACTTGCCTGTATACATCGGTCTACAAAAGGATTGTTATCTACTTTGACCACATTAAACCCTAATCTTTTAAAACAGGGTTGCATTACATTTTAAGCTTAGCCTATCCAGTACTTTGTGCTTTTTGATAGTTACTGATTATCTTGGATGTTGTTTGATATCTTCTAGATGTGATGTTTACCCCAAAGTTGTACTTAATTTTTGTCATATAGTAAATGGTGATTGTTTTATAGTAAAAAGAAGCTTATCATAGGTAAGAATTTATGTACAACTAAATATGACTGACCTCACTTTGTTCTCTTAGGTTCAAGGGCGCCCACAGAAAACCCAGAGTATCATTATTTTAGAGTCCCACATCATCTGCTGCACACTGAGCACGAGTGGAGGTTTACTGCTGGAGTCCGCTTTTCGGGGGCAAGGAGGTGTCCCCTTCAGTTGCGTCATTGTTGATGAGGTCAGTGAGATGCTGGCCATATGATTTTGAATAGTGCTGTGAGAAGTCTTAGGTGAACTGTGGTTGCTGACCACTTAATAAAATGGTTTTTAACATCTGATTTTTACCTTTTATTCTGTGTATATATATACAGAATATGTGTATTCTCTTAGGTTGAAATATGCTGCTAATGGTGCCCCCCTTGATTAAAATTGCTTTTCCATTATTGAGATTACAGTTTTAAAGATGCCTAATCGTTTCTAACAAAATCCCTGCTGAGTGATTAGCTCCTGCTTGAAATATCTCTGGGTGCCTTTTGAAGTACTTGTGTATAAACTGTGCACATCCTCCTATGTGCTTAAATCCTTAAATCATCTGTCTCTAGGTTACTTATAGTTACGTATTATAATGACTTCTGACTCTGGACAGCTTTGGGTCAGTATTTCCAGTTGAACTGAACAATATCAGTTGTTCCTAGATGAGTCACTAAGTACCCCTTAGCAGGTACTTACTGTTTGCCAGAATGAAGTCAGAAGACCAGAGGAACGGAGCAGGAGACAGAGAATCAGTGGAGGAGATACAAGAGCTATCAGTCATGCCCTGTAGATACTTACATTAAAAAATAAATTCAAAGCCAGTAATCACCAAAATGAACCAAAAACTGAGTGATGAAATAATTAAAATGTCATTGAATTAAAGAGAAAGTTGAACCTGCTGATTGAAGAGGCCTACTGAGAAAGGAGGAAGGAAGCTGGGGAGGAACCTAGACACAGCTATTGTAACAGCTGCCCTTCAGAGATGAGTTCCTAAAAGAACTTCAGAGGCGAGAAAGTTCTGTCAGCACCACGCTCAGCAGGAACCGAGACCGCAGATCTGGGGCCTGTGCAGCTTTCTGACCTGGGCTGCTCCCCACCTGGAGTGCACTGTGGTGGCTGATTTCACAGCACATGTTGAATTTTTTTTTCTAAATTGTATTTAGAGAGTTTGGTTTGGTTTGGGATATTTGATTTTCTGATGAAAAAATTGTACTTTCATGTAAAAATGTGGTACTTTTCTGAATGACTAGAACTTGAGCGAAGTAGGTAAGTCACCTATGGATCAGTGAGCAGCAGAGATTGAGATGGTGTTTTATGTTGCCTGCTGTGCTTTCTTCCAAGGCTGGGCAGTCCTGTGAGGTCGAGACTCTGACGCCGCTCATCCACCGCTGTAACAAGCTCATCCTGGTAGGAGACCCTAAGCAGCTCCCCCCGACGGTCATTTCCATGGTGAGTTGTTCTCAGGGTGAGGTTGAAGGGGGCTCTTTTTGTTTTTCAGAAGGTGGCTCTTTTTTGCATCATTATCTCATAATTTGGAGGGAAAAGTAGGGAATGGCTGAGCAAAGAGACACACCACTTGAGTTTTAATAGTAAAAATGGCTGTGCATGTCCCGTTGTTCCTGTTGTGCCTGCAGATGGGAAGCCCGCCTGCGTGGAGGCACCCACTGTGGCGAGGCTTTCCCCGAGGGCTGGCCGTGCGCACAGGATACCTGAAAGGGTGTGTCTGGTTATCTCAGTAACACGAAAGCAAGAAAAGAGTCTCAGCCTGCTCATTAATATTTAAATATGCATAATTTGATGAAGATGTTAGAAAAAGGTTATTTTGGAGTACATTTCCAATTTGGAATAATCTGTCCTGTAGTACAAGAAAATGTGCCCCTTGTATCATTTGAAGTGAAGGTGGCAGAAGGGAAGAAACTAATTGTAAACTCATCCTGTGGGAAGAGAAGCACCCAGACCGAGGCCCAGGCTGCCCTTTTGTTCAGTCACATTAAACTGTGTTGATAATGCACATGAGTGTCCAGTAGCTGTGTGGGGTGACCTGAATAAGCCTAGATAGTGGTTTTGAAATGTAATAAAATGGATTTTACCAATACATAATTTTTTTCTTATTTGCAGTGCTGAGGGTTGAACCCAGGGCCTTGCACATGATAGGCAAGCGCTTTACCCCTGAGCTACATCCCTACCCCCTCCTTTTCTTTGAGACAGGATGTCTTGCTGAGTTGCCCAGACTAGCCTAAAACTTGAGATCCTCCCGCCTGATCCTCTCAGAGTGCTGGGATCATAGATGTGTGCCCCAGTTCCCAGCTCTAATATATAATTTATACAATGTTGCTCTTATAATCCCAGAGAACAGATCATTTTCTTTTTATTTATTTATTTATTTTGAATTTTTTGTTCTTTTTTTGAGACAGGGTCTCACTCTGCAGTTCAGGCTGGCCTTGAGCAGTGCACTTGGTAGCCCAGGCTGGTCTAGAACTCACAGCGATCCTCCTGCCTCAGCCTCCCGAGTGCTGGGATTACAGGCGTGCGCCCCCATGCCTGGCGAGAACAGATCATTTTCAAAGCATTTCTTTTCAGTTGTGGAATGAGTGTGTATGATTTTTGTTCTTGTTAGCGTTTTTTGACCGGAATTACTTAAAATGATTGCACAGTTCTGCATACAACATCGGAGCACAGGTGCACAACTGTGCTGAGGAGTAGCCAGAAGCACACCCCTCGCTGAGTGAAAGCCTCTGTGTGTGGAAGGACGACTGGTGGGTGTCTGCAGAGAAGAGTGGAGCGTGCACCCTAGTGCAGCTCTTCAAATCTACATGTAGTTTGCCCCCTGAGCCTAGCCAGAGATGTGTTAGGGCGAGGTCATGTTTTTAATCGCAGAAGCAGGTCTAAGCAGATCACTCGAGAGGATTGCTTTGTTTTCCTCCACAGAAAGCACAGGACTATGGCTACGACCAGTCAATGATGGCGCGCTTCTGCAAACTGCTGGAGGAGAATGTGGAGCAGAACACGATCGGCAGACTGCCAGTTGTGCAGCTCACCGTTCAGTACAGGATGCACCCGGACATATGCCTCTTCCCTTCCAATTACATTTATAACAAGAGCTTGAAAACACATAAGTAGGTTCCTTCATGACTTGCAGGCTTACTGTGTTTATAGGCTTCACTGCTTAGGAAGAATAACCATTTTACTGTGTTCTTAAGTCTTGTCACAAAACATTTTAATAATTTCAGTGTTAGCTGGATCAGATGCAGACAAGCAGAGAGAGCGAAGTCACTGTATTTATACTGTCCGGAAAGAGGCATTGGCATACCTTCCCTCAGCTGGGGGAGGGCCCAGGCCGTCACCCTTGCTGTGCAGGTGCTTTGCCACTGCCCACCCGCCAGGCCTTTCATGCATATTTTTTATTTGTTCTCTTTTTAAAATTCTTTAAAAGGTGGACTATAGATAGTGTTATGTGGCTAACCTTTTTTCCATTCACTGTATTTTGAGTAATCTTCCTGTCGTAGTCGTTAGAGATCATTTTCTGTAGCCCTAGAACAGAAATACCGTCCATTTTGGACCTTTTCGTAGTACCCATCTATAGAAGAAGATTTCTCTTGTCCCTTTACTGTCCCTAGCTCCCTCCGCCCCACAAAAGTGGCAGTACTGCCCGTCCTGGCACCCCAGACCCTCATGGCAGCTGCTCCCTTACAGGTTTACCGAATCTGTTCGATGCTCATCAGACTGGCCCTTTCAGCCGTACCTCGTGTTCGATGTCAGCGACGGCTCAGAGAGACGGGATAACGAGTATGTGCTCTTCACTTGCCACCTTGGGTAGTCTCAGAATTGCAGCGTTGTTTCTGTTCAGATTTGTGTTAAAAACGTTTCCTATGCACACTTTGTGCTTCGTGCCAGGGCGCAGTCACTTTTCCCACCCCCTCACAGCTTCTGCTGAGTGGAGTAGCGGCGAGGGTTAGGCCAGCAGGGGAGCAGACACACGCAGTGGTGACAGTGCTGAGGGTGCAGGCACAGGCTGTGGCGAGGGGACTGTGGTCTCGTAGGGAGACGACACTAACCCGATCCTTGCCTGGATGAGTGCAGTCATCCTGGGTGGTTGTGGCTGGGCAGAAGAGTAGATGCATCTGAGGTCAGGGGAGAGAGGGGGCGAGTAGACAGAAACGGGACAGGTCTTCGGATTTGGGGCTGTGCGTGAGGGGACATGGAGGCTGTCTGTAAAGGAGAGTGGAAAGGAGCGGTGATGTTGGGAGGTGCCAGCAACATGGGAGGGGCCGGGGACTTTGGTGAGAGGAGAGGATTGACCGCCTGGGGGCAGTATTTATTAGCACGGGCGCCTCTCATCTCCCAGCATAAGTGGAAACCCAAGTTCCTCCACCACTACCAGTCAGGACTGCCTAGCAGGCGGTGTCCTGGAGCAGAGTCAGGGTTCAGGTAAAGAGGTGGCGGGAGAAACGGAGGAGGAGCCCTGCCCTCAGTGCACTTGTAAGCCCAGCCCTCCGGAGGCTGAGGGAGGAGCGCTAGTTGGAGCCCTGACCCTGTCTCACAGTACAGATGGGCTGACGGAGCTCAGCGCAGAGGTCCTGGATTCATTCCCCAGTACTGAAAAAAGCCAGCCCAAGGGGAGTTGACTGGCTGGCCGCAGCACCAGCAGACTGCAGCAGCGTGGTAGCTGTGGGGCCCGTGACAGCAGAGCCTGGGACAGAGAGTTCCAAGTGGCTTCCCAGAGAAGCGGCAGCGGAGCAGAGGCTTCAGGGACAGGGCAGGTGGCCAGCTGATGGGTGTGCAAAGCTTGGGAGACAGCCAGCCTCAGGGGTCCCCTGGGGTGCTGCAGGTTGGCTGCGGTGTGGTAACAGGTGGAGTGGGAGCTAGGTGAGGCCCGTGGTGGGGGTGCGCATAGGCCAGCTGCAGGGGCCCTGCTGCTCAGCTCTCTGTGAACACCGGCTGCCTGCATGGGTGGCATCTTCTCTTGCACAGCTGTTAGGCCCAGTGGTGGGGAATTAAGGAAAATAATGTATCTGATGTTCTTTCTCAGTTTGTGCACAGTAGCAAGTCTCTTAAGTCATGTTAGCACTTCGTTCGTATTTGCATATTGTAAGTTCTCTTGCTCTTAGGATGGCTGTCATTGTCTTAGCAGATGAAGAAGTGTGTGCTTAAGCTTCAGTGACTTGGAACTTCTTTCTCCGCAGCTTCATGTTGCACTGGGCGGTTGTTTGTATTTGTTGATGTGCATGACATTCGTGGTCACTGTAACATCGGAGCCATAACTGGCTGAGTAAGAGATGAGACCTGTCTGCCCGCCCTTCCCTCTAGTGGGAACTTAGTTCACTGCTACTTGTTAGCAATTAAACTACTATGAGTCTTGATATGTTTTTTTCTTTTTCTCCTATTTTGTTTAGCTCATATATAAATGCTCAAGAAATAAAATTGGTGATGGAAATAATTAAACTTATTAAGGACAAAAAAAGAGAGATTAACTTCCGAAACATTGGAATAATAACCCATTACAAGGCTCAGAAGACGATGATTCAGAAGGATTTGGACAAAGAGTTTGATAGGAAAGGGTGAGGTATTTTTGCATATATTTGTATGTTTCTGTTGAATTAGAAAAGAGAGGGAAAGGAAACTGGACACAAGGTAGTGGTCAAAGACCGCAGGAAGAGATGGGGCAGCACAAGAAAGCTGGGACTCCAGCTCTCAGAGACTGGCTCCGGTGGGTCCTGGTCCCAGGTCCCAGGGACCAGCAAGCTGCCTCCAGGCAGGCATCGGGAAGTTAGCCCTGTGCTAGACAGTGAGGTTACCCGAAAACTCCCCAAGTGTTCTCCCCTCGGTTCTGTGATTGATGACATGAATTGTAATTCTTGCAAGATAGGTGAAGTCATTTTGAGAGCACTGTGTAGTACTTCATGTCTTTACGTGTAAGGTGTAGATGGTTTTTGTGTTCTTACCTGAACAGTAAGTTAATGATGCAGTATTAGAAATCTGTTACCTCAAAAGTTTGTTAACCCAGAAGTACACAGACAACCAGAATTAACTACCAAAAAGTAGAAAATCTAAACAGGGGTATGTAACAAGAGATGGGGTTGGTATTCAGACCTCACAGTAATAAAAAGCCTGAGCAGGCTTCCCTGATTTATTCTACCGAACACTAAAACAAGAATTAGCACCAGTCTCTTCAAAATAAAATGGGACCCCCGCCCCTGTTTGCTTTTAGTACTTAGCAGTTACATTCAGCTTTGGTTCCGAGCCATACACGCTTCTCTTCTTCATCAGTCTTGCTCCCCTGCCCAAGCATACATTCTGACTAGGTCTTAAGAGGATAATATTTACCCTCCTACCAAAGCAGGGGTAGGGATCGCCAGAAAACTGACAAGTGCGTAACTTACTCCTTCTGAACATAGATGCAGAAGTTCTAAACAAAAAGTTGTAGACTTAATTCGGCAGTGTAGCAAAAGGATTATACATCACGACCAAGTGAGATTTATCCGAGGGAAGCAAAGTTGGGTCAACATAGGAAAGTCAGTGTGATGCCCCACATTAATAGAGGAGGAGGAGGGCACCTGCTATGCAGTGGGTACAAAAAGGCGTCTGGTAGAGTCCAATATTCTTTCTTGGTAAAAATGCTGAGCAAACTAGCAATACAAAGGAGATTTCTTAACCTAATAAAAGGCATCCATGAAACCTCAAAGCTCTCATCATTCTTGATGGCAGCCCAGAAGCCTTTGGCCTAAGATCGTGAAAGAAGTTTGCTCTTACTGCTTCTGGTGCACATCAACTAGAGGTGTAGCCAGCGCAGTTAAGAAAAGGAATTGAAAAAAAGGTTGCGGGGGATGCTGGGGATTTAGCTCAGCCGCACAGCGCCTGCCTGGCAAGTGTGAGGTCGTGAGTTCGATTGCCGGTACCAGAAAAAAAAAAAAGAAAAAGAAAGAAAAGGAATTGAAGACAGAAGTAAAACAGTGTCTTCCTAGATGGCTTCGTCTACTTATAGAAGCCCTAACGGAGCCATGTGAAGAAGATGTTACTGCTAATAAATGAGCTTAGCAGAGTTCAGGATATGAGGTTGTATATTAAACATCCGCTGTTCATCTATTCACCTGCAGTGAACAATCTGAGAGAGAAATAAAGACAATTCTACTTACAGTAGCATCAAAAAGAATAAAATGCTTAGAAATAAACTTAGTCAGAGAAGTGTAAGGTTTGCACATGGAAAGCGATGAAACATGGCTGTCAGAAATTGAAAAACAAGGCGCTGGGGATTTAGCTCAGTGGCACAGTGCCTGCCTGGCAAGCGCAAGGTCATGAGTTCAATTCCTGGTACCAGAGGGAAAAAAAAACCACCAAAAAAAAAGAAATTGAAAACCACCCTGGGGAGTGAAGAGGCTCAGTGCCGTGAAGACGGCAGCGCTCCCCACAGTGACGGGCAGCGCAGGGTTGAAGGCTCCAGGTGCGTCTGCCTGGCCTCAGATTGAGTGGTAGTTTCTGAAAGATGACTCCAGAGGGGGAAATCCGCACACTGGATTGCATGAAGGTGAAAAAATGGTTCAGAGGACACAAAAAGAGTAGAAAGGACGGGATGTGGGCCAGGCTAGAGCACTTAACGGGGTGCGTGAGGCCATGGTTCTCTCCCTCAGCCCTGCGGAAGGGGAGGAAAGAAAGAGAGGGGAACAACCAACAAAACAGAGAACATACTATGCAAATCCTGTATCTGGGAAGACACTCCTATTAGAGCTCTTACAATTCAGTTTTTAAGAATGAGCAAGAGATTTAAATAGTTTGCAAAAGATACACAGGTGGCCAGTAAGCACATGGAAAGATGGTTAATATCACTTGTCATTAGGGAAGGGAAAATCAAAAGCACAATATACCAGCTCACAGCCACCAAGATGGTTATAATTAAACAGCAAGCGGGGATGATGTGGAAAAATTGGAGCCTGTATACATTGTGGTGAGGAGAGGAAATGGCAAGTTGCTATAGAAAACGCTGTGGTAATTCTTTCAAGATACTGAATGTAGAATTACTGTCTAGGTAGTTTCACTCTAGGTATATATCCAAAAGAATTGAAAAAAAAAAAAAAAAAAATATTGGGGCTGGGGATTTAGCTCAGCGGCAAAGCGCCTGCCTGGCAAGCGCAAGGTCGTGAGTTCGGTTCCTGGTACCGGAGAAAAACCAAAAAAAAAAAAAAAAAAAAAAAAAAAAAAAAAAAAGAAAAAAAAAGAAAAAATATTCATATAAAAACTTGCACAGGATTTCTTACAGCGATACGAGTCGTAGTAGCCATAAACTGGAAATCACCCAAATACCTACAAGTTGTAGATGGATAAATTGTGATATGTCCTCAGAAAAAAAATACTGCTACTTGCTACACAGTAGATGAGCCTTGGGTGTGTTAGTCTAAAAGAAGCCAGTCGTAAAGGAGCACATTGTATGGCTCCATCTGTGACATTTTAAATACAAGAAAACCTAGAGGTGCAATATAGATAGATGGTTGCCAGGGCATAGGAGAGAGAGCAGATTGATGCTAACTGTCAAGGTACCATGACAAAGGTTTAAAAATACTACCACTTTATATAAGGAAGTATATTTACAGGTGTTTTACTTTCTGAAGTAAACTTCTCTCTGTGTAAATAGACCGGCAGAGGTGGACACCGTAGATGCCTTCCAGGGTCGCCAGAAGGACTGCATCATTGTCACCTGCGTTAGAGCAAACACCACGCAGGGCTCGATCGGGTGAGGAGCTAGCCTTGCTGCTATTTCACTTGCTTTTAGTCTAAGATTAGGCCCATCAGCCATCATGGTTAATGTATTAATTTCTTTTTTATGAAACTTTTTTTTTTTTTAGACAGGGTCTCACCGTGCATTTCAGGCCAGCTGTGAGCTTACTTTGTAGCCCAGGCTGGTCTCAAACTCGCAGTGACCCTCCTGCCTCAGCCTCCTGAGTGCTGGGATTATGGGCTCTTTTATAAAACTTGTATAACGTGATGAAGGTTTCTTTGAAGTTGTGAAGTAGATCCATTGTTAGGTCTGCTTTTTTATTAACACATCTCCTGTCTTTAACAAAAGAGAGAGTAATTGGAAGAAGTTTATTTTGCCAGGGGCACTGCCTCACCTAGTACTGTGTGTGTCATAAAGTGGCTGCCTGTTATTTCTGTTCCCTGCTGTGCCTCCGTTTGTTCATCCTCACTGCTGTCAGTTTGCTTCCTGAAGATGCCAAGGGTTCCCTTGAGTCTCCCAAGGCCTGAGACTCTTGATGTGATTATTTGTTCCATCTCATGAGACCCGAATAGGATTGATAGGTTATTAGAAAATGGAATTATTCTAAAAGAAAAGAGCAGTTGAGGCGATCTTTCTCCATCCTTGGTATGGGGTGGTTATGGAGGCTGGTTATCACCAAATCACTTAATAAATAGTCTACTTTTTCCCAGCTAGTTTGAAGTTTTACATTTATTTTGTTTTTTGATTTATTGATACATTTGTCTGATGTTTGTATATTTCTGCTTTGTGTCCATGATATTTTAACATTCCAGATATAATTAAGAGTAATTGAACTGGTCTGTATGTAAGATTTATAAGGCATACTCTTTAAGTTTTCTAGTGTCTCATCCACGTCAGAATAGGAAATGAATGGATGTAATACTGAAGTGAAGCATCAGAGGTTTGGTTCAATTGCGATTTTAATGGGATTTGCTTCTGGGCCAGGAACTGGGGTGGGGCAGAGAGAGAAGCCCCTTGCGGATGGCAGGACGCGGAAGCAACACTCAAGACGCTGCTCAGTGCTGCCTGTGCTGTGTAAAGGGGCGTGCGGCACGGTTCTGTTCGGGGGAGAATTGATTCTCTTTCTGTTGCTAGGTTCCTGGCGAGTTTGCAGAGGTTGAACGTCACCATTACGCGTGCCAAATACAGCCTTTTCATCCTTGGACATCTGAGGACCCTGATGGTAGGTAGCTTCTTGGGGACCACAAGAAACTCCAGTGTGCTCATGGTTGCTATCCCTGGATTGAGTTCCATTTTTGTTTTCCATCGAAATTGAGACATATTTTGGAGTAGATCCATTGTTAGGTCTGCTTTTTTATTAACATCTCCTGTCTTTATTTAACAAAAGAGAGAGTAATTGGAAGAAGTGTATTTTGCCAGGGGCACTGCCTCAGCTAGTGCTGTGTGTGTCATAAAGTGACTTTTAAAGTAAGTTATGTCCTCCAGCAACTTTCTTCTTGGAGCTTTTGTATACCCGTACAACTGCTCACTTTCTCAGCCCGCAGCCCAAGTGTCTGCCCTGGGTTCTCATGGTGACCTTTTTCAAAAAATGACCTGTACCATTAGTGTTAAAAAAAACTGTAACCTCACACAGGTAAGCCGGTTAGAACAGCATGTTGATGTGGCTGCGATCGGTGCCGTCTGATGCCGGAGAGCGAGTAGGAGCACGCAGTGGTCGCGCTTGCCTCTTGTCTGTACCTGAGCCGCGGGGCCGCACAGGCGCTGCTGGGCAGAGGCGCACGGCTGTGCATCTTGGGTGGACAGACGGAGCTGCCAGTGGCAGGGCCGGTATGGCAGGGTGTAGCATCGACTGGTGTCTTGTCTGCAGTCATACCTTGGGGGGTTTTTTTAAGGAGTTACTTTTTGGTCATGGAAGGACAGAAGCTGACTCAGCAAATTTTGCCTCCCGCCGTCCCCCCCCCCCCTTGGTACCACCAGGGGCGTCCAAGTACACCTGTCTCCCATGACCCTTCTCTTGCCTCCATCTACCAAGCTTTTGTGGCTTGTGCACCTTGTAAAAGAAGTTTCAAGTTATATGCCCTTTATTTGTAAGTTGATATGAAAAAACTTTTTTCATAAATTTAAGTATTGCTGAGGATTGTGTTTCTAATATATTATAAATTCTGACATTTTAAAATAAAGAGTGGGGATGGAGTAGTTGCCTAGCATGAGGCCCGAGGTTCTGTTTCTAGCACTGGGAAAGAATGGAAGGAAGGAGGAGGGATAAAGCAATTACATGGGAACCTCTTGCATCGCTCTTGTATATGCCAGTGGAACGGGAAGATAGCAGTGTTACTCCTTCTCCTCTTTGGAACTCTGTTTCCATCCGTACTTGCGCAGTGTTCATCTGTTTTTATATTTATAAGTAGATACCTTTTTACTAATCTCATCATTATGCTGCTTTGCCATAAAAATTTATATGTAAATTGAAAGTTTAAAAGCCATTTTTCATAGGAGAAATGAATGGAACCTTTCTTTGCAAGTTCCTTTGGGTGTGTATCTCAGAGGATTTTTAAAATTTTTTTGTTGTTGTTGTTTTCCGGGACCGGGAATCAAAGGATTTTTTTTTAGTTTTTGTGTGACCATAGGTGCTGGATGTTCAGTGATTTTTCAGTCAGATGACCTATTACAATTGTTACTGTATAGTTGAGCAGAATAGTGTGACTGTCTGACAGGTTTTGACCCAGTTAAACTGGCAAAGGTAAACCTGCTGCAGACAAGTCTCGTCCTGATCCTTTGACGAAGGGCCTCCGTGGACAGCACTGCTGTTGGCAGCCAGGCGCCTCACATGTCCTGGAGTGCGCCTTGGGGTAAGACTTGGAATGGGGGAGAGTTGTCTCGAACTTGAAGGACAGATGGAGGAGGCGAGACAGCCCAGCTGGAGACTGGAAGTGGGGTACACGCATTTGCAGAGCTCTGAGCTCCAGTTGGTGACACAGGCGGCGTCCTCACTGTGAAGGGCAGCACTGCCGCGGGCACTCACCCCACAGGTGTGAGACTGGCTTTCCTCTCCCCAGCACCACGGAAGCAGCAGGCCACAGGACAGAAAGCCCCAGCTTACCAACTCTGCTGGTTCTAGGTTTCCTTTTCTTTTTGATTCCTTAGCTCAGTTTTCCCTGTGAAAACGGCAGAGATTATTAAAGCACTTGGTTTCCTCTGAGAAGCCAAAATTGAGAAGTCTTTTCTCAGGAACTGTTGCTGTGACCTTAGGATTGGGTTAAATGCCAAGTTCAGGTGTAGTAGATTCAGAAATAGCAAAGCCGTCTACCTCATGTGTGTGTCAGCCACCAGCCAAGCTCTCTGGGGCCTCCGAGGGTGAAGGGAACTGAGCGCAGGCCTGGTGCTGCTCATGGGGCTGTATTCCAATTTTATAAATGAGGAAGCAGGCTCACAGAGGTCAAGTCATGACCCAGGAGGAGTCATTTCCCAGCAAGGAAATACTGTGCAGCCTCACCTGCATCCAGCCCACCTTTGTAAATAGTGTAGGAGCCTGCGTGAGGGAAGCTGTCCACTTCTTTTCCTTCCCATCCTTTGGGTTTTTTCTCCATTTTTTGCTCATTCTTTGTTCTTTCTGAAGAAATGCAAGTTTTAGTGGTTGTAAAGCAGCCGGTAACTACTGGGGGAACTGCAGGGAAGAGAGGAGAAATTCACTGGTTTTTTACCTCCAGACGTGTTTTTCAATTCTTAAGGTCCTCTAGAAAAGAAACAAAGTGGGGTGATACCTTTACATGCTGTTTCAGGGGATTAGGGTATTCTGACATCTCTCTCGATAGGGCCATGTGCTGAGAAGCTGGCCTCTGAAGCCACGTCTTCTGTTGGAGCCCGAAGGCCGCAGCCCTGCCGAGGAGGACACACAGCGCTCCAGACACGCAGCCCCTGTGCAGTAGCCACAGGAGTGCGGGGCCATTGTGCACTCGGAACAGGGCTGGCGCTGCTGAGGAACTGAATTTTTTATTTTAATTAATGGAAATTTATTTATTTTTTGTTGGTTTGTTTCAGTACCAGGAATCAAACTCATGACCTTAGGCTTGCCAGTCAGGCGCTTATGCCACTGAGCTACATCCCCGGCCCAATTAATAGAAATGTAGACCGGAAACTTTTGGCAACTCTTGTAAATCTGCAGGACAGCTTTTTACCAGGTAGCGCTGAGTAGCAGAGCTGAGAAGGGCCGGCCCTCCCCATAGCCGTGGCCAGCACTGATGTTCAGCAATGTGGATTTATCATTCTGTACTACAGCGTATTTTTTCCTTTCAGTTTTGTCTGAGAAGTAGTGTCTAATCATGAAAGTTTACGTACTGTTTGTTCAGAAATGGAAGCTATAGCCCTGTGCCTACCGGGTGTATTTCTTTGGTATATAATTGTTTCTTCCTTCTCTTGGTTTGAAGGAAAACCAGCACTGGAACGAACTGATTCAGGATGCTCAGAAGCGCGGGGCTATCGTTAAGACCTGTGACAAAAACTACAGACATGACGCTATGAAGATCCTGAAGCTTAAGCCCATGCTGCAGCGCAGCCTGACCCACCCCCCCACCGCCACCCCTGAGGTGCCCAGGCCCCCGGGCGGTCTGCCCAGCAGCAGGCTGGACAGCGGGCTCGCCAGGACGTCCTTCGCTCCTTCTCTGTACCACAGCCCCTCCGACTCCAGTGACGCTGCTACCACTGTGACTGCAAGGGACCCTGAAAGGCCACCTCTGCAAGACCGACTTCGAGACCCACGACTGCTCAGGAGATTCGAAGCGGAAGCCAAGGCGGGGACATTCCTCGGGGATCCGCAAGCCCTGAGCCCCCAGTGTTCTGCAGCAACGCCTCCCTGGGCAGAGCTGGGCTTTTCTGTGACTCACCAGGACATGAGCGGTGCCCTGCAGCCGTCTGCTGCTAACATCACCCCTCCGAGCCACCACAGACCTCTGGCACAGGGTGAGCCTGCTGCTGCTGGCACTGACACATCTGGGAATAGAAGGAAAGGTGGTGACCCGGAGGGCAGGCGAGGTCACAGGAGAGAGGCTTGGGGTCTCAGTGAGGGTGAGCAGGAGAACTGCGGCTGTGTGACTTACCACTCAAAGAGGGACTCTGCCTGGGACTGCAGGAGACCGGAGGAGGACAGCAGTTCCAAGAAGAGAAAGCTTTGGCAGTAAAGCCACGTGAGGGGACTGCCAGCCACGGGCACTTTATGAGCTTGAGGTGACCAGTGACGAGGACCATCCCGATGAGGTGATTAGTTTTTTCCTTTAAGGAGCGTGTGTGCCACTGGCAGACACAGAAGTACGTCCCGATGCCGAGCCTTCTGGTCACCTTGAGTAGATTTTGCCAGTTGCACATGTTTTCTGAGGGCATTTGAGCATCTGTAATAATGTCCTTGAAATCGTTACTCCTGTTCTCTGAATGTTGAGCTTTAGTTCTTCTGTAGAGAAGGGGGTTGGTCTGGAGTGAGTGTTGTAAAAGTTGCAGTGTATATTTGTATAGCAAATAACAAAACCCTTTTAAAGTTTAATCTAGCAGACCACTTTTCCTTGCTTAAAATGTTCATCATTTTTTAACAGCAAACTTTGTATTAAAAGTGAGAGGAAGGCAGGTCCTTTTGACCATTGTTACGGGGACAGGTTTCTCTAACAGCCTAGGTCATGTGGGATAAACTGAGTTAGTGCGGCTGGCTCAGGGGCTCTCAGCTGTGTTTAGAGACGACAGCCAGGGCCTCGTGGGGACCTCGGGAAGTGCAGTCATGGGAGGTGAGGTGCCGGCAGCCGCGCTCTTCAGTGAGGCACCTGGACACAGGCCTTTGAGTCTGCGTCAGGTACGCACATAGTTCTCTGAAATTCTCACTCCTCTTGAAGTAGACGAATTCTTGACCTGTTGAGGCTCTGAGAGTTACAGCAAAGCCTGACACTCCCCCAGCATTCCGACCACCAGGCCGCTCTGGGACCACTGGGGCAGGCCCACGAGAGCATTTCTGGTAGGAAAGGTCCACTCCGAGAAGGAAAGTCCCAGAGTAAGAGTTGAGGAGGAGGAAGGGAGCCGACAGATGTCCCACTGTCCTCAGGGCTGAGGAGGCTCAGGACGGAGGGGCCACGTGACTTGGTCCAGGAATCCAGGCGTCCACACAGAAGGCGCCTGAGCGTGTGACTGACTGGACAGACGACCATATGACAACTTGGGGCTTGCAGTGAATGCTGCGGAGCCTGCCCACTCATTTGAGGCAGAAAGACACGTTCCCAAGGTGAATATGCACTATCTGAAATGGCTTTTCTCATTTGCTTTCTCAAGCAAAAAGTTCGGTGTAGAAATGCTCTTGGCACAGGGTGTACAGAGCGTTGTACAGCCAGCCCTGGCTGCCCGGTTTCCACGGCTCCGTTACCCACTGATGCCTGCACGTCTGCCTTGTGTCAGCTGCACACCTTGAGACCAGGGTGCGAGGGGGGCCTCCTCAGAGCCGACGCCTGCCCCCCGTGTGTGGGTGCAGTCTGTCCCAGGCTGCGCGCTGAGGGAGCCCAGGGTGCGGTGGGGTAAACCCCGCGCTCTCTGCTCCATGCTTCCTCCTTGTACCTTTGCCAAGAGACCTCCTTGTTACCGCAAGTTTCCTTTCCTGTTCTCTTGGCAGAGTGCTTGGTTTAGCAGAGGCTTGTGGGTAAGTGGAGAGTCCAGGTAGCTCAGGGAGGCGTGGGCGGAGCCGAGAGCCAGACGTCTCCCTCTGCGCCTGTGCTGATACTCACGTGTGAGTGCGGAAGGGCTCCACTGGAGTGCAGAGATCTCAGCTTCCTCTCCAGTGAGGAGACCTTGTTCTCAGGTTGTGTTCATCTGTTGGGCCACTGCTCACTGGCTGGTTTATGCCAAAAGCAGCGGGAGAACTGCATTGTCCCTTTCTCCCACTTTTTGGTGCCGGTGGTGGAGCCCAGCGCCTCCTGCGCGCTAGGTTAGCGCTCCACCCCATCCCGTGTCCTCCCTCTAAGCGTACAAGCCTCAGCCCAGCGACAGCCTCTCTCAGGATACAGTTGCACCCAGCATGAAGTTTGAAGCGTATTTATTGTAGTGGGTAGGTGTAGTTGCAGGGAGCTGCGTGTCAACTGTGGCCTTCGCTGACGTGGCTGTCACAGCGCGCACTGCTGAGTGGGGGTCAGTCTGTAGGGTGGTGAGAGACCCCTCCCCGCTTGCCGTGGCATCGAGACAAAGTGCCCTTCTTTTGGTGTTAGCTACTCCAGCGGGAATACGACATATCCTACTTCAGAACTTGATTTGCTTCTTTGTACATAATTTTCCTTGGATTTAATGTGCACAATTTGTTTATATGTTTTTGTGAATTATCGGGAGCAAATTTGATAACACATGTGAATAACCTGTAAATAAATTTCTAACAAATGTGTACTAAACTATTTTCTAAAATTAGCTGTGCGGATCGCCAGTTTCTTGCTATAGCTTTCACAATGCTATGGATTCATAGCTGGAGTTTGGTGAATAGTAGCCCTGTTACCTGTTTAAAACCTAAATTTTAAGAGCCGATGACAATCAAAAATAGAAATAAAACACTGAGATGGGTTGGAAGTTACATGTGACTGAGTTAAGACCTCTGTTACGCCCTGTTCCCCAGTGGGCATTTGTCTTTCTGGTGTGAGTGAGCTCAGGCTGCTTCCAGCTCCTGCTGGAGCCCTGCTGGTGTGACGAGGGGCATCGTGGCCAGCACTGGCCTTCCGTGTGTGTCACAGAGGGGTGTGCAGAGCCACCAGCTCACCTTCAGCCGGGGAGCGTGAGGGAGGAGGGACAGGAGAGCAGAGCAGTGGCCGTGCCTGTGATCGGAGCTCCCAGGAACACGGGAGCCACAGGCTGTAAGTGGCCGTGGCCTGGGTGACTACTGGGAGGGGCCCCCATTCTGTGAAAGCAGGAGCTGCGGGCGGGAGGCTGCGGGTCAGCCCTCTTGCTTTGCCTTTGGGAGCGCTTGACCTCAGCCTCGGGGGCCTCTCCTGTGCCAGCGCGGCTGCCACATTCAAGGGTGCAGCACAAATCATGCAGGACAGCCCGGTGGCGCGCGGGACGAGGGGACAATAAATCTGCCAAATGGCCCAACAGAGAGGAGAGCTGTGACGGCCACCTCCTTTGTGCAGTTTGTTACTGCAGCTGCTGTAGGAACGTTGGTAAAGTCACCAGAGTCCCGACTGATCCACCCGCACAGGTGCCCCCACCGCCTGGATTTCACCGTTCATTGTGGAATAAATAATTCAAGGAGGAAACTGAAATTTAGCTTCAGCTAATAGAATTTATAGTGGTGTGCAGCAGTTTGGGTGCACCAGGGATCCCTTCCACCTCTTAGAAGGCCTGAGTTATCATCGCCCTGTGCTGCACACAGGCATTCATTTGCCAAGCCCGACGCGTGACGGTGCCACGGACCCTGGATCTGAGGCTGTGGGCAGGAGACGCTCCTCCTCGGGGCCTTCATCGGCACAGCTCCGCTCTGGTGACAGCGGGGCACGGCGGCCTTTGTAGGCCACGCTGCTGCAGGTAGTTGAGCGCCTGGGAGTTCATGGCCCACAGCAAAAGCTTCTGATGCCTGGGCTTCCCCTAGGAATTCGTCACTTTACGGGGCGGGGACACAGCCCTCCCCTCCCGATTCGGTTCACTCCCAGGTGATGCCGCAGGCAGCCAGCAGCAGCCCAGAGCGCTCGGGGTGCTGCCTCGGGGTACCTGGGACAGGGCCCACGGGGCAGAGCCCTCTGGGCATCTTCACTTCTGTCCCGAAGGGAGGTTCTCGAAGGAAAGCAGACCGCTCCGTGATTCCGGACGAGCCAGAAGGGGAGGTGGGGGCTGCCCGGGTCTGGGAGGACTTGCGTGAGCGGGAGAATACAGGCGGAGGCAGGCAGGACGCAGCCCACGACATTTCTGTGTTCAGTGCTGCAGTTCTGGGTTGGAGAGTTTCCACCTGGTTCTTTATACCCGTTTCTTAGCTACCAAGAATTTTTTTTCCTTTTATTTCAAGAATTTTTACCTTTTCATGGTTAACAATTTCCTGGTTATGGGGGGAGCCCTATGCTAAAAGTGTTAAGAAAAGTCCTAACATTCACCAGTGGTAACAGTAGTTAGGTAATAATGTTTAAAAATATATATTATTTTTTTCCCAGAGCAACTTCAGGTTCACAACAAATGGAGCAGAAAGTGCAGATTTCTCGTATCACCTCTGCCCCCTTACGGTGGTCCCCTCATTCCTCACAAGGGACGAGCCACAGTCATCCAGGGGCCAGCGGGCTCGTGAGGGTTACTCTTGGACACATGGGTATGATGTGTCCAGCGTATCGTACGGAGCACTTCCCACTGCCCTGAACACCTGCCGTGCTCTACCTATTCTAAGTTTTTTGTATTTTGTATTTTTTGAAACAGGACCTCACTGTGTACTGTAGGCTGGCCTTGAACTCACTATGTAGCCCAGGCTGGCCTCAAACTCACTGTGATCCTCCTGCCTCAGCCTCCTGAGTGCTGGGGTTATAGGTGTGTGCCACCATGGTTGGCTCTAAGTAATTTTTTTTTCTTTTTCTTTTTTTTGGCACCAGGAATCAAACTTAAGACCTCTCATTTGCCAGGCAGGCACTTGTGCGGCCGAGCTGTATCCCCGGCCCTTAAGTATTTTATTTGTATATTTTTTGTTGTTGTTTTGAGACAGGGTCTGGTTAAGTAGGTCAGGCTGACCCTAAACTCACTGTGTAACCCAGACTGAGCTCTAACTTACTGTGATCCTCCTGGCTCAGCCTCCCTAGTACTGGGACTACAGATGTGCACCACCACCCCTAGCTTGTATACTTACCTTTTATGTTTCACAGTTTTAATTTTTACAGAGAAGGTGAATTATATTTGTAATAAAAATAATTTTACAGAAGACACACTACTTATTTAGCCGGTCTCTTAAAAAACCAAAACCTGTGTTCACAGACTTGATCCTGCCCGGTGGTACTGATTGCCCACAGTGGGAGGCGAGGGTGGCTTAGAATTCTGGCAAGGCCAGGCTAACTGTCCCAGGTCCCCACGAGCCCAGGACACCGTTCCTGAACCTCGAGCCCCCAGGCCAGATGGGAGCTCAGGAAAGAGTTTGGGTGGCTGGAGGACAACTGCGTGAGTGCGTGCATGTGTGTGTGGCTGTATGTGTACGTGTGTGTGTGTGACTGTGTGCCCCATGTGGCGGGTGATACCCCACAGCAGGGGGATGACGGTGAAAGGCCCATGCTGCTTGGGTGGCTGCAGACGATTGACCCGGACCCCTGTAGGGCAGGGGGACCTCGGCCAGCATCCCCGCTTTTTGGGGTGTGAAGGACAAAGGCGCCAACACACGTGGTGTGCATTGGCCAGGTCCCAGGACATTGCTCAGCCGAGGATCTGCTGGGTTCTGCTTCCTGCTCCCCAGCTGTCACTCCTTGCGGGCTTGGCCACCGTCACTGCCACCAGCACCGTCCCGGAGCCCTGCCTGAAGCTGGCACCATCTCTAATCCCTGCTGGACAGAGTGTGTCCTCCACACACACGGGTGGTCCTGTTTCAAACCATTTTAAACACGCAGGACAGCAAGAGCGTAAGGGACACCTCTGCCCACTGCACCCTTTCCCTTAGATCCTGGATACAGTTAGGGTGACCCTCTCTCCCCCAGAAGGGACACCAACCTGAGACCCGGGGGCGTGGATCTGACAGTGCCTGGGGACCCTGTGGTTGTCACCCTTGAAGAACGATGTCACCCTGGAGAACACCCTGCAGTGACAGTTGTCCTGTCCTGAAGGCCGGCAGTGCCAGCCGAGAGCACCCCACACGGATGGCGGGCTCCCAGCCTGTCCCGGCGTCGCTGTCTCGCTCCCGGGTGATGGCTCCTGGGCCAGCTTTCTTGTGTCTCTGTGCTGGGTTTTCTCCAGACCGCACCCGTGGTGTGGAATTGCGAGCCTTGGGGCACAAGCCTATCACACCAGCCGTGACTCTGAGGCCGGACCCTCACCTGGCACCCCATGTCCCTGCCTGACCAGTGGTCACTCTGTGGGCCGCAGAACAGTGATTTCCTGACTAGCTGTCTCCTGGTCACAGGACTCAGCTCCTTGGACCGGGGCTCTGCCTGTCCACTTCCACCTTCCACCTGCGCAGCAACTTTAGACAATTATTTATTTAAAAAATACTAGCCTTGGCTGGCCCAGAGTAATGGTGCGTCTCTCAGGCTTCGGCATGACATGTCAGCACATGTATACAGTGGGCAAAGATCAGATCTGGGGAAGCGGTGTATGTATCGCTTCAGACAGTTAGCATGTCTTCCTTTGGGGAAACTTCCAGAAATCTTCTCTACGAGTGATTTTGAAATAGTCCTTTAAATCGTTGTCAGCCGTGCTCGCTCAGCTGTGCTATGGAACCTGAGAAGTTATTCCTCCTGCCCTCCTGCACCCTGAGCCGCCAGTTGAGCTCCCCTGGCCCCACGGCCCTCCCCCATGGGCCCTGAGTGGACAAGGGGTGAGTTCTAATTTTTGCCATTATAATAGACCGAGATAATTTGAGCTAGATTTTCCTTTTCAGTAGGATGTACTGGGGGTTGAACCCAGGGCCTTGTATTATGCTAGGCAAGTATTCTACCACTGAGCTGCTGTCCTCCTTTGAGACAGTCTCACTTAGTGGCCCTGAACTTGAGATCCTCCTGCCTCAGCCTCCCAAGTAGCTGGGATTACAGGCACGGGCCGCCATGCACAGGCCTTCCTGGGCCGTGTGTGTGTGTGTGTGTGTGTGTCTGTGTGTGTGTGTGTGTCTGTGTGATATTGAGCACTGATCCCAAGTCTCTCACACTGAGCTACATCTCCAGCTCTTTTTTTATGTTTTAAAATCTTGAGATGAGGGCTCATTAAGTCCCTAAATTGCCAGACTGGACTTGAACTTGCAATCCCCCTGCCTCAGCCTTCTAGAGTGCTGGGAAAACAGGCATGTGCCACCATGCTGGCTCCTCCTGGGCCTTTCTTAACACAACTGAGGACCTCATTGGTCTTCTTTGGGCCCGAGGGACATGTCCCCCAGAGCCTGCACCCCATTTAGGCCACATGCAAGGATCTGAGGACCCTCAGACCACCCCACAAGGAGCAGTCCAAGCTTCATTTGAATCTTGCGTCTCAGGTGTGCACAGGGCTCCCTGTCATATATGGGCTGCCGTGTGTCCAACAGTATGACATGTGGCACTTTAAATACATGGACATGTGGTGCTTGGGTTCCGTCTCTCTCCCCACGCCTGGAAGTGTGGGGCACCCTCCCAGCTGGCCCTCAGGCTCCAAGTCACCCTACAGACAAAGTGTGCAACCCGCTGTGCCCGGCATTGGGCCTGGCTGTGGGGGACCCCAGGCGCTCCTCCACTGAGTCTCAGGCCTCTGTCACCCCAGGGGCCCTGCAGTGTGAGGCCTCGGTGTGGGGAGCAAGGGGGTACTGGGGAAACAGCGGGGGCATGTTGGCCCTGTCCGCGGCAGACACCGTTTCTAAGCTCTGCAGATTAACTCATTCACACCTTGACACACCCGGAGACGTCTCATTTCCCAGAGAGAAGGAGGAAGCACAAAGTGACCGAGTAGCTGGTGCAAAATCACGCAGCAGGTGGGTGGTGGAGGACAGCATCACACGAGCTGTGATGCCAGAGCCAGCGCCCTTTGCCACCTGATGGGCCTTTGCAGCCGCCCTTCCTGCAGGGCAGCCGAGTGAGGCAGCAGCTCCCAGACTCCAGCCCTGCTGGCCCTGGCTGGGTCCCAAGGGCTCCTGCTCAGCTAGCCACAGAGCGTCCTGTGGTCAGAAGCCACCTGGGGCACGACGCAGCAGGTCCCCAACTGGCTGGTTGTCTGCAGGACAGCACGCTCTCCC